TTCAATATTATACTTTCTGTATCACTACATATTGCCGGGAGTCTGTACATGTTCATCAACGTAAGATTCCTTGTACATTCGTTCTGATTTGTTTAAATTCATTAAATTATTAAATGTGAAATCACGATTTGTGTGCGTTGTAAATCCTGACGACAGTGTCAAAGTGTTTACTATATATAAATATACCATATGTATCGTTCATGACATAACGCACATCAAACACAGTGGGGGTAATTTGTAGTAGCTGAGCCGGTTCGTCCGTATTGATAAGTTTCCAACAAAGTAATACGGTGCACCTAAATCAGAGTCGATCACCCCTTTGCTCGAATGAAAAGGGTATCACTTGGCATCGTTCCGGAGATATCTAGACCAAGTCCAACTACCTAAGGTTGGTGGTACCATCAGGGTTTACTAAGGTCGGTAGTATTTTCAGGGTTTACTAAGGTCGGTAGTACCATCAGGGTTTATTAAGGACGGTAGTATCATCAGGGTAGTCATATGCAGCGAATGTTTCAATCAGAGTATTGAACGGCACGCAACGTATGTAACATGTCACACACATTCATGCCTTCTCACACGCACGAGGCTACGCCGAGCGTTTCATACCATTGTATCTCACGTAGTGGAATATATCTACATCCCCATTGCCCTGGACACACACTCTTTGGCTCAATTTACAGTCCAGAAAAACACGCATATGCACTCGCGCGGGTTTCTTTACTGCGCCATCGGCCGCCTCAGTACAAAGGAGGTCATGCTCTCCGCCACCATTCTATCCTCGATGTCAAAGTATGTCACGTGACACTTGCGGAGTTCGTGACTCACACGAAAGTTGAGTGTATCCAATGGGAATGTTCAGTTGGCACTTGTGGAGTTCGTGACTCACACGAAAGTTGAGTGTATCCCATGAGAATGTTCAGTGTATTTGCGGTGTCAAAGTATGTCACATGACACTTGCGGAGTTCGTGACTCACACGAAGGTTGAGTGTGTCCCATGGGAATACTCAGTGTGTTCAGTGCGAGTTATGACGCCTACTATATCTGAAAAATGTGGCAGTATGCGGAAGTATGCGATGATTTGCGTTTTTGGTTATTGTGACACGTGTCGAAGTGTGTCAGGTGGGGGTGTGTAGTGTATTTGCGGTGTCAAGTATGTCGATGAGTGCCTGTAATCGTTTACTGAAAGAATACCAGAGGGAGTATAACTATGGCTATAGTGACCGTGAGGTTTAACACGTATATATAGTACAAGTAATCTGTCGGCTACTTCATAAGATTTTCCTCCCATCTCTCACACATATATTCTTCGCCCCAATGCCCGCACAGCTATGGCAGTAATATCACCGTAATCACAGACAACCGAGGAATCGATACTATCGTAGAAGCCGGCCAGCAACATCTGTTCCACAGGTAGAGTACTAAGTGGATCATAGCAATTTCGACTGGCGATTGTGTTTGTCTGCGGATTCGGAGCGATTACAGGGTTTTAGGGTTTTAGGGGCTTAGATTAAAAGTGCGTGTGAGATGAAGGACTACTTTCAAATTCAAATGTTCGTGTTGGCCAATCCAATCGCTCACGGCCCATGACAGGGCCTTTTCCATGCGAGAATGGCATGCGCAATGCAGGCTCAGTAGAGTCCTGGACATACACCGTCCTAGTCCACAAGCTGAGTGCTCGGTCAGGGTTTAGGGTTTAGAGTTTAGGGTTTATTGCTTGAAATACCAATGTGTTCATTGTGTCCATATCGCTCATATTCTTCTGTAACCAGAATGCTGAATGTCGATGAATACGTTTCGGAGGTCGACGAGGTAACACCTGGGACTGGATCGCGAATCGCAAAGGTAGGGAGCGGTATATGGCAGAGTTCGATATATGAGGGGTGTTTCTCTATGACAGATATACGAGGGGGTATCTCCACGTGTACGGGGTCTAAGGATTAGTGTTTTTATTTAGCATATAGAGCGTGGGAAGTGTATCCCTCTAGATATCAATCAGTAGCTGTGATAGTGTTTTAAGATTGGTCTGACATAACTCGGCATACGAAATGCGTGAGACTTCGGAGCGGGAACTTCTCTCCCGACCGCACATTCTGTTTGTGGTAGATACTAAGCGAGCTGGCGCAGTTAATCTCTTTGCCGTAGTCTGATAGTTGCCTGTGGGGACTGTAGTTGATAGTCTTCATGGGCTTGTGTCGTATCGATCCCAGTCCGCAGTTACTGTACTGCGTACGGTAATTCAACTACCAACTGCCCTGTCCATGATGGATCGCTTGATGGTGGTACAAATATCATGAGCGTTGATCGTGTAAGGTATTAACTGTGGTATTGAAATTCGTATAAAATAGTCACAGTGGTATTATTGGTTGATGGTCCTGAAGGGCAATGTGGTCTATGAAAGCAGGCCTATACATAATCTCAGCTTTAAGCCCATGTTGACCGTACGTATCTTCAATCTCACAGATCAACGGAATCATCAACACTCCTTACGACGAAACGCTGTTCTTGGACGTAGATACCGAGGTATGCTACATGTTTCCATAGTAGTACGTTCGTGTGCCTTTTAGCTTAGATCGGATATCATATATATTATGTGCGAGATATGCATGTTTCCATAGTAGTACATTCGTGTGCACTTTAGCTTAGATTGTATATTTTTTACAATACGTGCAAGATGTGTCCGTTTTCATAGTAGTACGTTCGTGTGCACTTTAGCTTAGATAGGATATTTTTTACAATACGTGCAAGATGTGTCCGTTTCCATAGTAGTACGTTCGTGTGTACTTTGGCTTAGATTACATATTTTATACAATATGTGCGAGATATGTCCGTTTCCATAGTAGTACGTTCGTGTGTACTTTGGCCTAGATAGCAAATTTTATACAATATGTGCGAGATATGTCCGTTTCCATAGTTGTACGTTTGTGTTCACTTTAGCTTACATAGGATATTTTATACAATATGTGCGACCTATGCATGTTTTCATAGTAGTACGTTCGTGTGTACTTTAGCTTGTTTATCTTAGATAGGATATTTTACATATGTCTGAAATATACATGTTTCATAATAGTATGTTCGTGACATGTGCGGGGTGGGCATGTTTTTATAGTAGTACGTTCGTGTGTACTTTAGCTTAATTATCTTGAAGCATTTTTTTGTTCCAAATCTGTGTGAAAGATTTTGGATGCGTTCGATGTGTGGCAAGTTCCGCGCGGAGCTACGAGCATCCTATGTGCGTGACGGCAACCCCGGCATGTTGAATAGATTACAATTACATCAATCATATCTTATACGGATCATTTGTGATATACTTCTCGATGGCCTGGAAAACACTCGTGCAGATACACTGCACTTCTCACCCCCCCCCAAAATGGGATGTGATATTATAGACACGCCATGGTGATCAAACTCCAACCGAGCTCTCATGTGTGCGATAGTCTCGTTGGTAG